AATCACATCTCAGGTTCAAGGTGTGGCACCTCAAGCGGTTGATGCCAGTAGGACTGTGGCACCCGCTATTCAGGCTACATCTTTTCCGGGTTTGTTGTCGAGTTTCATGTCCGGGTTGGGAGGTTTGCGTGGGTCTGCAAGGGATGCAAGCGATGCAAGCGCGCCTCCACCCGGAAGGGTTGGACATCAGACATATGCCAATCCAAATCGCGAGTCTCCTCCCGGAAGGGCTGGGATCGGACCAACAGCGGGTGGTCTGGCCTCTTCTGGCCCAGACTCCCAATCTCGCGTCGAAAACCCCAGTCTGGAGGAGATCAGGGCCTTTAGTGCCCATGCCGACAGTGCAACGCCAGGGGGAACACGAATGCCTCAGGCACCACCCCCACCAGGGTTGCAAGGAGGCTCAGTTCCAGGAGGAGCGGTTCCCATACCGCATGAGGGGACTCACGGCCTTGCGTCAGGCAACCCCGCATTAGATGCACTAATCCTAGGAATGCAACAACTACAAAGCGTGCAATTGCAGCAACTCCGGGGTAAGGATAGTGATGCTCCTGAAGTGGTAAAGCCCGGCACCTCAGATTTGCCCAAACTGGCCACTCCAGACCCCTCAACAGGATCCCTGGATTTCCAGGATTGGTTACAACTGGTAAGTGGTTTGATGGGTGACCTTTCGGACACTTCGGGCTCCTGGTGGGCGGCTGTTCTGCAGGTGAGCCGTGACGCCTATGAGAGGTGGGTAGTTTCAAGTCCCATTGAGCGTTTGCGCATAGAGCCTGATGACAGACCGGAGTTGGTAGAGGGCACATGGAGTCGGGTGAATGCTAGGGCGTGTGTGATGCTTTTGGGTGCCCTGGATGAAACGGTTAAGGCGGACCTCATAGCCCGTAAAACCACGCGGATGGCTACACACATTCTGTTCAGGTTGCACACCCAATACCTCCCGGGAGGGACGGCTGAAAGGTCTTTAGTGTTGACCAACTTGCAGCATCCAGCGGAGGTGGACAACGCAACGTCAGGTGTGTTAGCTTTGAGGGCTTGGGGTAGGTGGTATCAGCGCTGTGTGGATTGCGGCATGAACTTACCGGATCCCATGGTCCTGGTGAGTGCCCTCACCTCAATGACTAAGCCAGTGCTTCGTAAGGAACCGGAGGTAACATGGCGCACGGAGCTAGTGAAGAGCACATTGCAGCTCCACGGACGCCCCTCGGAAGAGGCGGTCAGGTCTTATCACAGGCATTTGTTGGCTGAGTTTGAAACGCTAGCCGGAGCAATGGTGCCAGTGAAGTCTGACGACGCCCACGTTCCACAGCTCAAGGCAGTGAGCGCAAATGAGGCAGGTGAACGTGTCAGTGGGGCGGGTGGCAAACCATGCAAGTTCTTTTTATCGCCTAAGGGCTGCAGGTTTGGCCAAAAGTGCCGATACGCACATTCAATGGCCGAACTCTCTAACGATGAGCGGTTTAAGAAGTGCTTGAATTGTGGTTCCGAGGAGCATCGCGCTAAGGATTGCAAGGCAGGTAAGGCGGAACCCAAAGCGCCAGATCAGAAACCGTCCGTACAGGCAGCTTCCACATCCTCTGGCCAACCCGTTATCCAAGCCACCCCAGTGCTCAACATGGACACCTTCATGCAACAGGCAGTTCAAGCCTTAAGGCAGTTGGAGGCCAATCCACCGCGCAGCGACGCCACACCACATGCCCAGCCGCCTCAACCTCAGCCGGAAGGCTTGAGTACTGCATCGCAGCAGCCCTCAGCGCCACCGGCATCGTCCGTACCCGTATCGTCAACACCCAATCCTTCGGTGAAGAGGCTGACGATTCGCTCAGTCGTGCCCGTAAGCTGTTTCCCGGTTTCGGGCCCCCCAAACCGGGACTCCCAACCCCCCCATCAGGAGGCTCCAACTCGGGGGTTGGGAAATGCCGAAAATCAGGGTGGGACAAACCCCCATTCTCGAGCCGAAAATGGGGGTTGTTTGTGGCCCCCAAACCCATAGCATATGCGCTTTTGGACTCCGGTGCCACACGCCCCATGCGGCAAGCATCATCGGAGGAGGAGTGGGAGGACACAGAGGAGGTAGAAGTGAGTTTAGCCGGCGACCAAACCACAATCATGCGGTTGACGCGCGTGGGCACTCTCCTACTGCCTCCCGGGAGGGACGGCCTGGTGCAGCCAATTGTCCCCATGGGTGCCATCATAGCGCAGTTGGGATACAAGCTAGTTTGGTCCGCTGGTAGTTGCAAGCTTTATCCTCCTGATGGTAAGTCGCTGAGGCTTCGGGTCAAAAATGGTTGCCCGGAATTGGTTGAGAGCCAGGCCTTCACATTGATATCACAGTTGGAGAAATGCACGGTGACCCGACGTGGGATTGAACGCAACACATCTCCAACTTCGCACCCCTCGGTTGCATCTCACTCACGCTTGAGCCCTCATACCACTGAACGCCCAGTGGAGGATGGTTCCCAGCGTAGTGGTTCCCACACGTTGTGGTTCAGGTTGGACGCCAGCGATGGGGATGACGACAATCCCGCAGGATGCAACATCAGCGATGGCATCAGGGATTTAAGCGTTTATGACTTGGATTGGACGCGCCTGCCACATTCCCCACTCAGAAGAGATGGGCATACAGCAATGCCAGATCTACCGCAGTGGTGTACGGGTGAACTTTGTGTAGATGGTTCTGGGGCGTTGTGTGGGTTTGGGCCGCGTGACGTCCAGCCAACCGTCCACAAGGTCCTAGCCACCAAGCTAGGAGGAGAGCACGAAACCACAGTGCCCAATAGTGTTGCAGTCCCAGCAACCGCCCCCCGGGAGGGTGGGACCCACAACACACGCCGACGTCTGACGGCAAACCTCCTTTTCCAACTGTTGTTGTGGCTGCTCGTACTTGTCGTCCTTCGCATAAGCTTGCCTTCACTTTGCACCGGCGTGTTCGGGACACTGCCCTCAGCAGCTACAGGCACTCCAGTACCGTACTGGGTTGAGGAGGAGCCGTGCGTTAGGTTGCTTGGTTTTAGTGGCACAGTACTAGGGCCTCCAGTCCAGGAGGAGTCCCAACAATTTTTCGCAGGAAGTGTGCCGCTCAAACTTTTGTGTTTTGCCGCAGTACCGAAAGGCCTTGTGACAGCAGCCTTTTGGAGCGTGCTCGGGTTTAACCTGTTCCGCACTGCGGAAGCAAGTGCAGTTGGTGAACGTGATCAGCCGGTGAGTGCGGTATTCAGGCTTGTTTTCTTGCTGCAAGTCATAGGCGCTGCTAGCCAGGCAGCAGACGAGGAGGAAGACTTGTCTCTCCCTGTGTCGCTTGATGCCGATTTGATGTTGGCAGTATCCATCATCTGCATTGGCATTTGCTTCATTGCAGTGTGGGAGTTCTGCAAGTGGTGCCTTCAATTCGTCATCTCCCGCCGAGAGGCAGGGACACCCGTGTTGTCCCTGAGCCCCCGCAAGGCGCGTAAGTTACAGCGCCTTCGAGATCAAACTGCGCAGGCCATCCAGGCCAGATCTCTGCACGTGAGGAGGCAGCAAGCTCGCAGTCTGTTGCTGCAGTGCCCAGACGCCGCCCCTCACAAACAACTCGCACGCATGAGCAGGCAGGTGGAGCACCAACGCGATACTTTGCAACACCCGAGGGGACCAAGCTCCACCGCACTAAGACCTGTTCCACGCTCGCCCACTCGCACAGGTTTGTTGAGTTTCAGGTGTGCCAGCAGTGCCACGGGAGTGCTGCCGACCACACCCAGCACAGCACAGGGTAGGAACTACTCCACCCTAACGGGTTGGATCTCTCAGTGAGCTTCATCCGTAGCTGTGTCTTTTTCCGCACGAGGTGCCTTGAGAGCCCTCGCAGAGTGAGGGCAGTTGGCCCAGCTTTTGCCAGGTAGTTCAGGGTAGGCATGGCGTCACCCTGACGGGTTGGACCTGCAGTAGCAAGTAGGTCGCAACTCCCTGGCGGGGCTGCGAAGGAGGAGTGCTGAAGTGCATGCCACCTTTGTAGCTCACGTCACGTTTACATGTGAAACGTTTTCCTCTTTTGCTCTTTCGGCCCGAACAGTACAGCCTTGAGCAATGCATTTTAATCACATTTGTACATGCATCAACATTGGTGTCATGCCCTAGTCTTGTTTCTGATCTTTTGCTTGCGTGTAAAACCTCCGCGTTCGAGTGAGCCATGGGCAGTTGGGAAGACTCTGCTAGGGGATTAGCTACCCCACTAGTAGCTTCTGCTTCTATGCCTGCTGGTTCACTCCAGCATGTTTTGTATTTGTAAATGGTGAGGATTCCAGCTGCCACGACGGACCCAGGAATTCCTCAGGAGGGCCGCCAACTGTCACGAAGTCCCAGGTGCACCCTCCCCCTTTAGTTCGCAGGTACGTTTCCACGCCCTGTCACTGGTAGTATTCGTGGTTGTTTGGTTTGAGGGTTCTGAGGATTCACTCTTCGCAACAGAGGTCCACACACACACAGACACACACCCACCCTCGCAGCTTTGAAGGTAAAGCGCAGGGTGCGGAGGAGTGCAACATCTGCAACGAAGGCCGAGGGCTGGGTAGTCAACCCGTATACTATGATGACTTGGCCCCACTGATTATCTCTACTATTTCGAGTTCTGCATCCGGAGGCTTCCTATGTTCTGCCAACACTCGAACGCACACGAAGTACACGGTACCAGGTGCAAGAAACTGGACCGGACTACCGAAGTGGAAGCTTGTCCTTGCTTGCACTGTCATTGTCTGCGTGGGTGTCGGCTCAGACCACTTATCCTCGCAGCATCTCACGTATGTAGATGTAGCCCATGACAAAAAACATCACTGTCTTCTAGTGCCGTGCGGACCTGGCGATGTCCTAGGGCGCCTAGGGCCTAGGGCTAGCAAATTGATGTGACGCAAGCCGCTGTGGTCGGGAAGTGCTGGTTTCGGTGTATCATCGTATTCCGTCCTGGATTGTCCGAAATGCATTCGGCCGCCAGCATTAGCAACTACTGACTCGTGACGGCAGGATTCTTCATGAACGAATCCGGCTCGTCCGAGTGCCTGAAATGCTACGAAGGCCAGCGTCCATGACCGCGAAGATGCGATGCAACAGGTTAAGCAGGATCTCACACTCTTTGCTTAGCATTGTTTTGAACAAGGGAAGCTTTACATTACGGTGCATCAGTTTCACGTCTGATACCTGAGACTTGATGATGTCGGTCCTCTTCGGGCACTGTTCATCATGGTTTCTGAAGGACTGCCTCTCTAGCGCTGGAGATCGGCGCTGTTGCCAGTCAGTGGATCAGCATAGCCCAGGGCGCATCCCGAAAGCCCCTTGGGAGGCACCTTTGCCGACGAATCTGGGCTTACGCAATGCAGAGACTGCCCCGCCGGTCGAACCACGAACTTCCAGGAGCTGACGGGGCCACGTGGCAAGGGGGCAGTACGGAATCATACCATCACACCATCAGCTGGAGATGGGTGTAAACTCCTTGCACTCATCGTTTCAGCTCACACCGTAGACAGCAGAGGATCTCCACTAGAGTTGTTCATTGCTCTTCACTGATCCTGCAGGGTGCCTTGGACGCGCAAGCTTGCACCTGCAATGGAGACCTCTGGGAAGGCCAATGCACCTTGGTCTGCCTTCGATTCGAGAAGCTGGATCAGCAAAGCAAAGCTTGCTAAGCGGGTCATCGCTTTGGGACGGGCTCCTTCATGCCTTGGCGTTCGCATGTTCACGCACACTCAACTTTGGGAGGTTCGTTTCGGCCCCCAACCCATGCGTGCTCATCTGAGGTTTTCGTTGCCAGGCCGCTCGAAGCAGACAGGCTCTACTCGTGGATTGTTGCATGTGTGCATGTCAGTCAACCGGTGTGTGTATGGGTGTGTGTATAGGCCTTGCCTACGGTTTGGGTTGGGTCGGGTGGAGCAATTGAACTTGGCTAGGTCTTGAGAATAAGGCCAGGTTCTCTGGAGGGTGAGGCTCATGACCGGCAAGTGAGGTTATGCATGAGTAAGGCTACGGGAGGGTTCAGCCAGTAAGTTTGGCTGTCGTCCCCTCGTTGATCTTGATTTCACTTCGAGTCTTAAGGAGTTTGAATTGCTAATGGCTCCGAGCTCGGCATACCTTAATTCACTGTTGACAGCTAGCGCTTGCAATTCTAAGGCTAAATATTGACGCCGGGGACACGGCTGGAGACATTTAAAAGCACGTAGCGACATAGAGCATATTCCAAGCAGTTTAGCACACATGTCGGTGAATTGTCCAAGGCTGGTTTTCGCAAGGCATCCCAAACAGCGTTGATAGATCAACAGCCAACGAAAAGAGGTGGCCGGAAACCATGCATTTTCTGATGAGAACGTCCAAAAGCCAAGTTCGCTTTAGCCCAGGATTCCACTCGTTTCGAGCGCGGTGCGTGTGTGCTGTGCCAAGAAGGTCTGGTTTGCGATTTGGCCGCATGTCTTTACCCGTCATGAGTGGGCCAAGAAAGCTGTCGCTGGTCTGCATGAGTTGTCGATTCGGTTTCTGTCTGGCTGCCGCTTTTGCTGGGTCAGCCCGTGCTACAAGAGCTTGCATGGACTAGCCGCGTCGACGGCATCGTCAATCGTAATTTTTATTCATTAGCAGAGAGCAGCTTTGGGTGTGTGAACTTGCGGGAAGCTACATGGCATGCGAAGTGCAGGGTCCCACCAGCTCGATTCTCTGGGAATCTTGGCGGCTCAGGCGAAGAAGGCGAAGCTCCGGTGATCCTTCCAGGTGCAAGCCCCATAGACAGGGGCAACGCTTGCAGTTAGCACTTGACCAGACATGAGGCCACAAGACTTCCAGGTTCGGTTCTACTTCATGTCAAATTGATTTCGCAGCAGACTTCAGAGACAGAGCGGGAGAGGGGGAGAGAGAGAGAGAGAGAGAGTAGACTTCAACCCAGGCTTTCCTTGACTCGGCACCAGGCTATTACGCAACGCCAGAAGCTCCTTACGACGTGTACAAATGCAGCTCATCGCAATGGAGACTCTTCAGCCAGACGTCTTGAGTTCTCCGAGAATCGAGACACGCGTGGCACCCAGGTCTGCCAGGAGACAAATGCCCCGGAGGGGCTCCAGGCCCTTGGGTTCAACCTTGTGAGCTGAACCGTTTCGAGTCATAAGAAACACTTCTGGGGTCATGTGAAGGGCATTGGATATTCCATTCTGGGAGATGAAGACAATCTCGCGCAGTCCCTTCCCTTTCATAGCACCGTTGACCGGCATTCATGGTGTACATCTGCTTCTGTCAAGGCAAGTAGACAGGTGGAAGTCGTTTACGAGACGCCAGCTTTCATTCACCATTGTTGTAGTTCGTCAGAAGCCTCAAATGTACGTAGCCGAGCGCATCAGCATTGAGTATCACGTGAGCTCATACAGCAGTCTGGGTTTCAGGTGCATGTGCTGGTGGTCGTGTTGGCGCCGCTTGCCTCGCAGAGGGTAGGTGGGTCGTCGGCCACAGCAGGGAAGGTCCTGCTGGAAACACCTCAGTGGGTAGTACGTGGTCTATAATAAACGCATGTGATGGAGCATGTCCTTCGCAAAGGAGATTGATGTCATGCGGTCGTGTCACATGCAGGACAGCGCAGTGCATAGGATTTCATTAGCCGAGTGCGAGGAAGCCCAAGGTGCCATGCACACACTGTCCGGACGGCCAGTCCTTCGAAGACGGGCTTTGCACCCCCTGTGGCAACCTGAGCTGCTTGGCTCCCAACTGCCGTCGATGCCTGTCTTGTGACTGCTAATGCTGACTGGCCGTGAGCTGCAACTCGATACCCCAATTGACATCCGTGCTGAGGCACTGCAGGATGGGTGGCGGCCATGCTCTTCGGAATGGTGTTTTTAGCAACTTTGTCCACACATAGACTGAGCGAGCTGGGCATCCCGAATCCGGACGGCTTTGAGAGAACTCTTCAGTTGCATTGCTCTGGCCGACGAGCTCAGGTAGTTGGATATTACCTCATGAACACAGCGGCGACTGCGAAGGTGAGTATGATGCCAGTCTGAATCGTGCAGTGCTTCACGCTGGGTTTTCCGCGTTGCAGAGGCGAGTGGGAAGTCGGAACGCTCTTTTTCTTGGATTCGATGCCTCTCCAACTCCCGTGCTGGGTCCCGAAGCTAGGATACAGTACCTGTGCTGGTTCGGTTTGCGGCTTCCTGCCCCCCTCCCCCACTACTTGAAGAACGAGCTTTGCCTGCTTAGCGGCAAGTGGTGAATCGCTAAGGATGTTCGCGACTACCTGTGTGCTCTCGATGACGATCAGCATGCTGCCAGTCTCTGCTGGCTCAAGACTGTGAACGACAAATCTGCTAGGCAAGAAGTCGCTGTGCTTGTCAGAAGTGCTGGTTCAGGCTGCAAAGCGTGGGCATCGTCGGTCTGATTTCCTTTGAGTGGCCTTCAGAGCTCGCCTGGATCTTCGAAGTCATGCCGCTTGGTTTGCGGCCTGATGGGTTGAAAGATGCAGGATCGAAGCATTGCTTCAAATGCCCATCTTGGAACATGTAAGCCGAGCGTAGAGATCCGCCTTTGTGTCCTTAGAGAATCGGATTGAGACTGCGCCAGAACACAACGTGCCAGGTTACTGTGGAAGCTTGTCCGACTTTTCTGCACATAGCCTGCTTAATCTTGCCCAAAGTGCAGCAAGTGATGCTAGAGGGTCGGTTTTTGCAATATCAGTGCTGGTGTGAGGCTTGTAGAGTATCGTCAAAGCGTGCAACAGCTAGACCGTCAGAGTGCTGTTCATTAACGGCCACCAGCTAAACATGGAAGGATGCAAGCTGTGGTCGTGGCAACTTCTGACTGCTCAACATGAGACAGGCCAGCAGAAACCACCTACACAGCTTATTCCGTGCCAGCAGCCTTTTTTTGGTTTGTTGACCAGTGTTTTGTACAGAGCTTGGCTTTTTCAAAACACTGCCTTGCATCTCCCTTTCGCACACCTTACCTGCTGTTACTTTCCGAATCTCAGGAAAAGTGCGGGCACGTTGTATGCTTTGTGTTTCAACACTACAGTTTTGGCTGTAATGCTGCTTCAAGTCTAAGGAATCTGTTTCTCTTGGACATCGATTCGCTTGGCTTCGACTGCGTGGCGGGCAATCCAATCAACCGGTGGCCTCCCGAGCTGTCACAGCTTCACAGGCATTCACTGACCGTGCAAGTGTTTTCGGGCAACAGTCGGCGAGTCAGGTTGCGAACTCTGAGCCGCTTCGAATGTTCTGAGACGCGCTCGCAGTCATGCCAGGTACGGGTTCAGCGTGGCAGCGCTGCCCGGAGCGCTGATTTGGATACTGGTGGCGGGACTGCGCCTGTGACTAGTTTCCAGTTTCCAGCGTTGAGGCTTTGGGTCTAAACTCGAGGCGGGACACCTTAGACAATCGCGCAGCTTGCTTCGCCAATTTGTGCGCATTTGGCGCTCAGGATTACTTGGGTGGTGCCTTGCATCCCGAAGCATCGGCGATTCGAGCTGTCAAAAACTTTGAGCACCATGGGGCAGGCGGCAACTGGCGGGATCTGCCCGATATTTAATGAATGTAGTGTTTAAGTCCAACAGCTGGGCGAACATGAAGCCTACAGCCTTCAAAGAACTTTAAAGAACTTTGTTTCTGCCAAGCACTAGGCACTAGAACGTTGATTTTCCGACGAGGGCAGCAGGACACTCAGCACGAGTTCAGTGGTGCGCGGGATTCAATGATTGAAAGTCAAGGCTACTAAGGTATTTGATGGCGAAGAAGAAATCAACCATGCTACAAGTTTTGTCCTTTTCCAGTAATCTCGCTGTTCTGGACATGTTGGCAAGAGGAGCGTCATGTGGCCTTGTGCACCCTGACGAGGTTGTCCAAGTGACCTTCACCATCGCCAGCAAGACGGCACTCGAGCCAATGATGTGCCAGGGTTCGTGCAGCGGTATGTACATTGACCTAAGCTAGCAATCTCTCTCGACATCCAGACGCTTTCCTTGCGTGTCTTGTGTAGAGTCTGCCTTTGTTTCAAGTCGTCCCTTTTGTAGCACCTGGCACAAGAAGACAAATCCCGTAAGGTGCTACTCCCATCCGAATGGCAGACATGGACTGATGAAGCACAATGGCATCTTCTGCTTCGTGCCCTGGCAAGCAGGGCACCGCAGAAGCTGAGCTCGGCGTTTGGGACCAGTGACTCCTACCCAGTTGGTACAGGAAAGCCCCGAGCACACGAGCATGTTTATCCTTGGCTTGCTTCTGCCGCATGTCTGCAAATTCGTTCAGTTCATCAGTGGCTTGCATGTGGGCTTACAGAGTCGGTCTTTCGTCAGCGTGCTATCGGAAACGGCTTGCTCACCCGCCCGCTCTTGCTCCCTTTCTATATCTGTCTCTTGGAGAGTCTTCTCTCTCTCTCTCTCTCGATCGCTTTCGCCACCCGATCTCGTCGTTTCTCTTTTCTGTAGTTCTTTGAGCATGTGCTCATATGGGATGCTTGATTAGATCACAGGCTTTGTGGCCTCATCGCTTTCTATGCCTTGGCAGTCTTCGGCACGATGTCCCTTCGCAGCATATGGAGGCCCTTTGCAGACCAGACGACCCCAACTCCAGAGCTGGCCGCAAAATGTCGCTGCGCGTTGCGTCGCAGCGGTGCGGCGCAGCCTGGCCTCCCCGAGTCTCCGCCAAGGAATCATTCGGCACTGAACCCGAGAGGCAGAGGAAAAGCGGTCGAAGCAGACAGGACGGGGTCCCTGCATTCGCGCTTTGTGTGATTGTTTGCTCAGGTACGCGCCGTGTGCCGCCAGGAAGGGCAGCGCGACGTTTCTTCAGTCCATCCGCTTTCTGATTGCGCGCTTTCGAGTGGACTATTGGTGGTATGGCATCTTGTCTCAACTAGCATCCTTTGATTTGAAGCAGTCGGTCACTTCGGGCAACAGATGCCCACGCTTACTGGCCACGGCGACGGGTCGTGAGCTGGAACTGCGCCGCTCCCAGCGCATACCCGACGTCAAATTACTTGTCGGAGGGCCATGTCCTGCCACAGCAAGTCTCTACCAGCAGCGACCCATCTTTCTGGGCAAGCGGCAAAAAGCTAGCATATAGCCGATGAGCCAAAGCTCGGGGCTGATGATACCAGACTTCCGGATTTCAGAGGGAGAGCGGCGCTTCTGTCTTTGAGTTTGTGTATTGTGGTAAGCCGATGTTGGCAACGCTCCGGCAAGAATCCACGGGACCTTCTTCCTCAGTGGTCTTTGAGGAACGTTCATGCTCCCTCGAGGGCTCATGCTGTCCCTTTCCATCGTTCTGGCTGCTGCAGCTTGGAGTTCATTTGAGAGAAAGCCAGCCGCTTTGTTGGGACGTTTCAGACCTTGGGTTCAAGACTGTCAACTTTTCTGGTATCCTTGATTTTGCGGGCGTCGAGAAAGAACTCGAAGGCACCCTTTGCGCAAGGGAAAGGTCTGATTACGTGGCTGCTTTCCCAACCTGCAGGTCAGAGCAGCTTTTCTCCGCGTAGCATGGGTTACATGGGCGAAGAAGCAGTTTTTGTTCGTGTTATGTGTCTCACAGCTTCTACCTGCGTATCTATCGGAGAAGGCTGATCGGCCATACGTCGGGCCCGACTGTTTCTCTTCGTAAAGCCACACAGTCTAGGGTTTACGTGCAGCGATTGTGCAGATCCGGTGCTTGTATGTGGTCTTGGTCTAGGGTGCCGGGCTGAGGCCCACTATCGACTAGGCAGAGTTATTGGCAGCCTGTCCTGGTGGAAGGATTATCCTTATGTGCAGATGCTCCTCATCGTCTTCATTTTGGAGCTGTGTCTTGCCGCAGTCAGCCCTGGTAGTCTCCAAAGCTCCTCAACTACGTCCAACCAGGAGCAGATTGCTTTGAGCCCACAGAGAAGTTTGACAGGGAGAGGCCCACCAAGCTCGGTTGAAGTGGTGTGTACCGGACGGGGTCGCAGGCTCGCTGGAGATATGAAAGAAGATCCGAGCTGAGAGAGAAAGCACCTGAGGTACATGGTTGTGCAGTTAATCGTGTGGCCGTGGAAGCTTCCAGCCCTGAATCTTTTCGATGGCACCGCCGCTCAGCTGCTCACCCCTGTCGGACTCGAGGGTTACAGCGCGCCCTTTGCATTCGGGTTTTCCGCTCGCTGCCCGTAATCCCCTGTACGAGTGCACCTTTCATGGTAGCCGCATCAGCTGCAGCTCTCCAAAGACTTGTGTTCCGATGCGATGCGGAAGAACTCGCCCGCGGCTAGCCGTGCGCCGCATCTCAGGTGAGCGTTTGCTTGGTGATGATGATGGTGACCATGGGGGCCTTCACACCTCCGCTGCCACCGGAGCATTTTGGACTGGAGCGATATGAGACCTCTACTGGTTTTGAAGCCATTCCGTGCATGCTGTGTTTACGTGGGTTGCAGAGAATCTCCGCATGCAAGAAGCGCGCAGTGAACTATCAAGGTTTCAAGCCGCCATGAAAGTGTATCACACAGATAGTTTGCCAAAGGGGAACAGCAAGTTTGGGCGTTCTTGCTTCACGAGGCTGAAGGAGAGCCTGACGAGTGTGTCCATGGCTATCGTGCCTCGCCTGTGCGTGGGTTTGCTTGCCACGGAAAGGCGGGTGGCATCGGCGTGAGATCGGATGCGGGGGCCTGTGTGATTGACCTTCGACCATGGGATCTGGGTCCCATGCAGTCATCTAGTGTGTGACATCGTGGGCTGTTTGTGCTATGCAGGCCTTGCTGGTTCCCGTCGGCTCTTCTCGGGGTTAGAAGGCGGCAGGAGATGGAGTGAGGCTTGTGATCGTTCCTTCACGAGAGTTGAATGGAGGCCCTGACAGTCAACCACAAGCTGCCTCAATTAACCTGCGGCACCCAGGCTTCACCTCCCAAAGTGTCTTGTGCCCAGCTGCCCTGTAGGAAGTCGCCCCTGGTCTGTGGAGCATCACAACAGCTGCAGCTCGTTTTTTTTTTTTTTTTTGATTTCTGATGCTGTACAAAACAACGGGCTCTGAGAGCCGCGATCCTTCTTTCAGCACCAGCCAATTCCACCCCACGAACGATCGCTCAGATGGTGATGCTGCAAGTTGTGGTTCTCGCCATGGTGGGCGTGACCATCGCAGCGATGATTTACCGTAATGCACTTGGCGGGTCGAAGGACATAGAGAGCAAGTTGTGAACCACGTGAAAGCAACGCGTTGCATGTCAATTGCGAGTCGTTTTCCACGCTGTACGGAGCAAGAGGGCAAGAGCCAATATGAGTCAATACAGTGATTTGGTGCCGGTTCTCGGGATTGCCGAGCCTTGCAGGAGTCCGCAGTCTTGGCCCTGGGAAAGGTGCCAGACACTAAGGCGGGCAGGCAAAAAGGGCATGATACACAAGTTGAGAGTTGTGTTGAGGGTTCCTGCATGTTGCAGAGCAGGATACTCGTACAGGTTACCGGCGGCTCCATCCGGCTCCCTGCCAGGTCTTAGCACACAAGCTGGCCCACTTCGGGACGTCTCTGAAGGTCCTCATGCTATAATCTTGGCTGCAGTCAGGGTCCGCTGTCATAGCTTAGCCTGGACATGGACAGACCCGGGAGCGAACTTCGTTTCGGAGAGCCACCCCCCACTCATGCGGCGCAAGTGCGTGCCGGTGGCAGGATCTCCCGCAAAAAGACATGGTGCGTGTCCTGGACAACTTGTCAGTCTATGATTTGCGAATGCATCTCGGCACTGGAGCTCGCATCCCTTTTTCTGCAGTTGGCCGTTAAGTTTGAGAGACTGTGTAATTCATTGGTCTAGCTCGTTCTGCTCGAACCCAGATGCCACAAGACATGGATTAATGAGGTTGAAGGAGGCTAGGAAGGTCCTGAGGCCCGTGAGCACACAACGCACGCAGCTCGCTAGCCCTCTAGAAGTTAAGGACCCATGCTGTGATGACGGCTGTGGGTGCAGAGGCGACTGGGAGACACAGTCATTTCACCCCACCCAGAATCGCCTTGAACTGCCCTTCGCCTGCGCTGTGACCCTGCAGATTGGCGATGGGTCGCTCATGCTCGCCAGCCGTGTATCGCTAGTATCACAAAGCTCACGAAGTGGCGTGGCACTATTGGGAGCTGCAGGTTGACTTCAGATTTCGATGTGGTGACTCCATGGCGCACATGTAAGCTCGCATGTGCGGACAGCTCATCGATCAAGCTATGACAGAGAGTCGGTCTTGATGTATGGCCTTGTTTCAAGGTTCCCGACGGGGGATTTGCTGGGTTAGCAGCGAGAGCAGGCTCAAGGAAACCTGCATGCCTCAAGAGTACAAAGACCAAATCAAGCCAGGATCTGTTGACAACAAGCCGGCTGAGAGCGCTGCAGGAAGCCTGGCATCGCCCAAACTCTGCATCAAGTGCTTTGCCAGAGTGCGCCAATGCCCCTTCTAAGTGCTCCCAAGTGTTTCAGTCCATCTTTTTTGGCTTGAACATCTCCTGCTGCAGGGAAAGAGGTGGACGAAATGCCATCATCTGTTGATGCTCCAGACGCGAAGGACCTGGTTTGTTTCGATGCGTCTGTGGCAGTTGCATGTTGAGGTCTTTCCACAACAAGTGCCTCCTGATTAGTCTAGGGGGCAGGGTGGCATCTTGAACTTAGGAGGGCGAGCCTTGAGATTCAGCCTATGCAGGTCGCTACTGTCGCAACAACGGAGACAGAGCAACTTGGTCCCTTTGCCTGAATTATTTGGCACTCGCGGAGCGTGTGTTCCCAGAAGTTGGAATTGACTGATATTGACTGTCGAAAGCGTTGGATGTCAGTAAGTATGTTGCAGCAGGGATTTGAGGATCATGAGTCATGAGGCGTTTCTTTGCATTTAGACGCCAAGGGCTCGAAGGCCCTGCCCAGTCTTGCTGGCTCTGAGATGAACTTGCTCCACACATTTACCTAGAACGAAATGCCGCGATCCGCCTGGAATCTGGGATGCTTTGGGTCAAGGTTGGGCCAGAGAGATTAAATCAATGGTCATCTTACGGCGGGTAGGTATTGCTGGTGATTCTAGTCTTCCAGATCAAGCAGTCCAGGAAATCGAATCTGGCAAACGCCAGGCTTCGGAGTTTTTCCAGGTGGCACTGGGTTGTGCTGGTGTCGCTTGAGCACCACTCTTCCGCACAAGCCAGGGCCTTGCTCCTCGCGGCGATGTGTAGTGACAGTGTAACTGCAAAGCAGGAGCTGGAATCGAAGGCCAAGGACGTAGACGCCTGGCACAGCAACTTCTTGTGCGTGCTGGAGCAGAACCGTTGACTTGCCCCTCGTTGGTTGCATATGTTGCATTTGCCCAAGCTGCTATTATCGAAAGTCTGCATCGACCCCTGCGACCAGTCTCAGCACTGCAAGATGATAATACTCGTCGAGTGCGCACTCCTCAATTAAGTGAAAGTTTTCAATGATGGCTGCGCGCCTGCTTGCAGCAACTTCATCCACGAGCCATGCGCAAAAAGACGGGATGCTTCTGATTGCTCCTACTTCCCCCTGGCAGGAGTGAACAGGTAGTCTTTAACGACCCTACCTTAATGCCGATGCATGTCATTATGAGGCAGAAACCTCCTTGCATGACATGTGCTTTACTGCCAGACCATGCGCTTCATGCTGTGCTGAGACTTCTCGACTTCGCGCCGCTGCTGCGATTGCTGCTATGAACGTGCAAATCAGGAGTAAAACCGTTTCATGTTTCAGACCTCCTTGACAAAGCTGCCTTGCAACACTATCCATAGCAGCACACGTGTGAGTTGATTGAAGCGTTCGAGAGTATTAAGTTATTTATGAGCTTGTTCGGTTGTGCTCTGCTTCTCGCGGTGAACTTCTTCCTCTAGCATTGGGTTTCCATTCAGATTCCTGCTTTCCGGAATCACGTGTAGAAGTATGCGCGCAGACGGAGAAAGTAACTCCTATTGTCCCGTCGAGGATATCAGGATGTGTTAGGCTTGGGGTTTGAAACCTGCGGCTGAAAAAGAAAATGGGCTCAAGGCACCAAGACTCAATCAACCCCAAAGCCCCATTGTAGGCCTCAGAACCGATTAGATGCAAACTAGATGGGAGCGCTGCATCCTAAAAATCGACGCTTAGCATCTTACCCCAGCATGCTTTCTTAACCTTATGTGTGATCAAATGCGTGCGGGGTCGGGGTGCTCAAAACTCACCAACGAAAGTCACAGGGATGCTTTTTGAAGATGCAGCTGTGACAGATTGCAAATTGTTTTTTTGGTTTGGGTTTGATGGAGTGCGCAGGAAATGCGACTCGTTGGGCTTGAGTTTGCCTGACAATACAGCTTCAGACAGGCACAGCGACAGTCAACAGGTACGAGACTGCTCCGTAAGGGGCACTGTTCGCTGATGTAGGAAAGGAAGTATGCATAGGTCGGACCAGAATTCTTTCGATTCAGCAGGCAGACCAACCCAAAAAAGAAGAAACGCTCGGCCGGCCGGCTTCAGCTTCGGGGTCTTTAAGCTTGGTGATCGCAATCCACGTCAGAGTTTGCATCAGTTCCTCCTCTTGAAATTGCATCCTACCTGAAGACACGACTGTAACAGAAGCAACATCCACTGCTGCCATGCCGGCAATCGCGATGCCGCGGGGAAAGCTCACAGATCCTGGAGATCCCAGCGGGGCAGCCAGTTTGTGATGCGAGAACGACCCAACTAGTCGGCCAGGTTCTTAGATGTAGGCTTGGGCGTATTCGAGCGCTGGATTGCGGAAAGCCGTGCTGAGGAGTTGCCACGAAAGTTTGCGAGGGTTGCTCGCTGAACCGGTGCAAGCAGTCGTCGAACTGAGCCACAGCCGTGGTCCAAGAAGACAGTACAACACTTGGCTGGGCGGCCAGGCTAGCTCGTCATGTCACAGACAATCAATCATAAGTAATCATAAGATGCGCTTTTGGCCATGCTGAACGAAGGCCGGTGGCCTTTCCGATTTAGGGCTCCAAGCAGACGTACTTCTGGCGCGGTGATGCGCGCATCCCGAGCCCTGTGAAGCCATGCCTCAGCCTTTCAAGAGTTGCTAGAGGTATTTACTCATGATGACCTTTAAATGAGGATTGAGCACGGCCGTGAAACCATCCTCTTCTCTTGAAGAGCGAAGCAAACGCCTGTACGACAGGCCCGTGACGTCTCAACAGCCGGCCCTGAACTACTTCAAGCAGAGATCCCATATCCATACTTGTAGTCATTGCTGTTCTTCGTCCTGACTGCTTGTGCATGCTGACTGCACCACCGTGTCCGGCGCCCACGATGCCACTGGGAAAGCTCGCAGATCGCGGAGATCCCCACAGCAGCCTTCTGTGAGACCTAATGAGTCGTCCAGGTTGCTGCTTGTAAGCTTGGTGCAGTGGTCCGTGTTGAGGAGTTGCCACGACAACTTCCGATTGTTGCTGGCTTAACTATGCCATTGGGCCCAGGCAGACATTACAACACTTGGCCGACCGAAAAGGCCTCTTTTGCGCTGAGCGAATGCCGGCGGCTCCGAGTTAGGTCTCCCAGGTTACTTCTGGCGCAGTGATGCGTACATCCCGAGCCCTGTAAAGACATGCAAGAACGAGCGTGTTGAGGGGGGGTGCTGTTTGTCAGGGCCCGGCTTACATCATTTAAGTTTCAGGTGCTGCGGGTTGATCTGCCGCAGAGCCGTTCATTCATTAAGATGCGAGCAGATGCCCGCAAGACAGACCCCCACTCACCCCTGCCCCCAACTCCTACCTACTGACAAAATTGATGATACGCACTGATATTGCCCCAGCTCTGTCAAATCCTGAGCAAGCAGAAGCCCCGTTACTGGAGTTCTTCCGAGTGCCTCCGCCTCCGCTTACAGCTCCGTGAGTTTACCCTCGATCTATGCAAACTTCAAAAGAGAAACTGTCGGAGGCTTGGCTTTGACGGGTGCGGGCTGGAACTTCGATTTGCAACCCTCAGCGAAAAAGGAGGTCTGAGTCTACGTATGTGAGTGAAGTGAGCGGGGTTGGCCCAGATGTCCCACAGCTGCACTTGTTCCGGTTGCGTGTTTCTGCGTGCAGGGTTTTTCTCCCACAAGCGGTTTTTCCCTGCATTCAGCTCGAGACCGGTCCATTGTTGGGGCGCCCATTAGCTGAAGATGCTTTTTTTCGAAAAACAAGGCATTGGAATTTCCGAGCGAACTGTCCACGTCAGCAGTCTAGGTGAGTCTAAGCCCTTGCCAGGGCGTGCCATTGCTCCAAGTGCATTTGAACATGCCGTTGATTGAGCTGTTGCTACACCTTCCGACTCTCTCAGAACGCAGGAAACTCCTAAGGCAAAGGTCGATGCGTTGTTTTTCGTGCATGGATGAGAGCTGACAGCTCCACCGAAATTGGGGGGCTTGGCTTCACGGTCACTGAGAGGGTGGCTCCGAAGACAGCGAGAGCCTGCACACCTCGCAGAGGACACATATCGAAGCGACTAGCATGCATGGCTTGCAGAGGCTTGTATCAACATATCGGGAACGTCCACCCGGCCAAACCATGCCGAATCTTGGCCCCATGATCTGTCCAAGAAAGCTTCGAACCGCATGCTGCTGTGTTTGTTCTGCCGACACGAGCTGGCCTCGCGTCAGTGTGAGCTGAGCAAGTCGTTGTTCATGGAAATAAATGGCGATGTCGCATGACCTCAAGGTTTTCGTGTTGTGCTTGCGGGAAAGCAATAATGGTTTACACCAAATCGACGGCATCTTCACCACAAGTAAAACTTCTGACACGCTCCGAGATATAGATGTTTGATGCAGCGTGGGAGGAGGAGGCAGACTGAGCAGTGCGCACCGCCGTTCCGGTCATTTTGTTGCAGGCGGCTGTATGGCGCCAACCAACCGCTGAGATGATACTTGTAGTGCGCAGCAGTCACAAGTGGCGCCTGTTGCCACAGGCCAGTCGCAGCGTAGTTGCTCGCGGAAGGAGTAACAGCCAGAGGTGCTCCGGAAGACTGGTTTTGACGGTTTGGGATTTGTTGGCCGCTGGGGACCGGGCAGCTGCGAAGGCAGATCAAGCCAATCCTGATTGTACGATATTTCGGCACTTTTGCAACTCATGAAGCCGCTTCGTAGAACCTGTCATAGGATGCAGCCCCTGAAGACCTTCACAAAAGCGCCGTGCAGCACGCGCAAGTTTCCTGCCTCGAGCCATCGTCAACCGTCAAAGAGTCACCCCCTAAGCAATCTGGGTTGATGAACCGTTCAGAATATCTGAGAATCTAAGTTTGTACCAGATGTTGGGCTGGCCTGAGTCTTGGTGTTGGCCGCCGTCCTTGCCTGCTACCGGAAAGCTTGCGATGCCTGGCCCGAGAACCTGGTGACATCACCTCTCGGTACGCGACCACCGCTACTCGTATTGTGAGGTGACGGCCATCTCGGCAGTTCGATCCCCTTTACTCACTTGAGCAAACTCAGCAGATGCAAGGTTCGTGCTGAGTTCTGTTGGGCAGGTGCTTTCTCAGATGCGCACGCCTAAGCTCCGGGGTTGGCTCTTGAGCCGACTGCCGCTCTGTCGACCAGGCTCTCGGCCAGGGCCATGCCGGGCCATGCCGTTGTTGTGCAGGCTTCCGCGACGTCTTCTCCGGAGCATCCTGAGAGCATCAAGCTCCTGTCGGGGTTGCCGTGGCCGTGGTAGCCTCGCTTGACGCTCTCTGTGCCTCTGTGCCCAGTCCTGTCCTTCACGTTGAACCCGCGTTTTGCCGGGTCCCGGCCTTCAGAGACGAGCTTTAGAGGGCCTCAGGGCAGGAGCCATTGCGGCATCCTTTGAAACCATTCGTCGAGTCTCGTTGAGGAGGCCATGTCTTTAAAGTTCACTCGTTAAGGAGGCCACGTCTGTAAAGTGTACTCATATGCAGGTGATCGTATGTCTAATGCGTTTTGCAAAGGTCCCTTTCAC